TAATATAATACAATGTCATATAATATAAAATAAAATAAAATAAAATAAAATAATATAATATAATGTAATGTAATGTAATATAATAATACATATATTATTTTATTAATTTAATTATCTTCTTCTATTTGTGAAGCATGAATGACCCGCAAACTTTCATTTTGTCATATATAATGAGGGAAATTGGTAACAGTTATCATTAACAGTTATCATTATCATGTATCAAGTGATGATATTTTTAAAAGCAAATTCAAGACTTACCTTTTTAGTCTGGCTTTTAATATTTTTTTTAACTTATGTATTATTATTATTATTATGAATAATTATATTATTATTATTATAATTATTAATATTATTAGTAATAATAATAATAATAATAATATAAGTATTAATAATAATAATAATAATAATAATAATAATAATCTGCTTGGGCACCTTATCTGGTCTATATATACATTTTATTTGTTATTTTATTTTTTCTTATTCTTAGTTTTGTAATTTTTTACAATACATAACTGCAAAATATATAGAAATTATAGTAATGATAAACAAATGTCCATGGTTCCTTGAAAATACCAGTAAATGTGTATTTAAAATGTTAGCTAAGTAAAAGTATGTAATCAGGAAAATGTAGCCATACTTATATTATTATTAGAGGTATAAAAATGTCCCCTGTGACTGTTATATATGTGTTATATATGATATAACTATTATTATAACTTTTACTGTTGTAGCTGGTTGAGCTTATTTTAACTATTTTGTATCGGACAGCAAAAATGATTATTTTCCTTACGGATTAATGTGCTGGTTATTCTCTCCATTAATTAATTAATAGTGTTGTTTGTAAAAATGCCGTCACAATCACCCGGAGCTCAAAATGGCACCTTCACAACACTTGTTTTGTCGAGAAGTTCACATGTTACTGCAGCAAGAGACAGGAAAAAAAAGAGGGTAGAAAGATAAATAGAGATATTTAAATAAAAAAAAGATGATGATAAAAGTGTAGTGTCTTAGAATTTATAAAAACAAGCCCAGTACATGATTATTTTAGGTATTATGGTGAGAAACAGGTAGCTACACAATGCAAAATATAAATAATGAATACAATATATTTAAAAAAGTTATTAGTGGTGCGAATTTAAAAACAACTCACATCCAAGATTTTTCCATATGAATTTATTTCTTCATAAAGATATAAAAACATACAATTACTGATGCAAAATCCCTGATTCTATAAAGTTCTATATGAATACATACCTCAACAGAAATAATGGATTCTTGTTTCTGTGGACATTTATTACATGATGTTTTGGAAATCTTAGAAACTTATATTGAATTAAATATTTACAAAACATAAGATAACATCTGTGCAATCACATAAAATGGCTTTATTCTTAATGTCCATCATTGATACATATTTCAACTCATTCCAGACACATTAATCATCAACAACCAAATCATTCACAATTCATTAAAAGAGAAAATACAGCAAGCATTACAAATGAATATGTTCTTTCTTACAGGTCCAGTGTGTAAGATATAGTGGGGCTCTTTTTACAGAATACGACAGAAACAGAATATAACATACTTAACTATGTTTTCATTAGTGTATAATCACCTGAAGATGAGATCATCATTGTGTTTTTGTTACCATACAATGAGACGTTTTTATCTGCAGAGGGAGCGGGTCCTCTTTCTACAGTTCACCACCAGATGCCACTAACTCCTACACATTGGTCCGTTAACACTGACCGCTTTCATGCAAAATCAAGTTATTGGTCTAAGTGTTGCGTTCAATAGGAGTGATGATCAGAGGGGCAGAGTTTTTACCTCCATCATTAGGGCAAGGACCAAAGTAGAGATAAAGTTTCTCTGTGAAGGAGCAGCCAGTAAAGCAATGCATAAGAGCTGCAGTACGTACATCATAAAAGGAGACCAGTCCCTCCTCATAATCCACAAACACCCCCACCTTCTGAGGCCTCCACTTCAGACGGAGATAGACATCGGGATCAGCAAAAGCTTTGTACTTATTTCCATTTCTCAAACATATAGTCCAGTAACCCTCCTGAGGGCTCGGGGGGATGTTCTCTTTCCTGTTTATAGACTCTCTGGCCACTCCTAAAGTCCATTTAGTCTTTCCTTTAACTTGAACCTCGCAGTAAAATCTGCCTGAAGAGAAACTCTGCTTTCCTAAGACACAGAGAGAATTAGAAAATCTCTCTGGATTGTCTGGGAGATTCTTCTTTACATCACCATGTTTAACTTGTTTTCCATCATCAGACAGGATGAGTTCAGGATGTGCTGTATCAGGATCAAGAGTCACATTTATGGCATATCTTTGGACCCTCTTCAGCTCAGAAACACAGAGCTCAGTAAACTGTTGACTGAGTGTCTCCTCCAACTGAGACGCAGCTCTCCCCACAGTCCCTTCGTGTGACGGTGGATGGACGTTGAGCTTTGTCCAGTCTTTGGTGGGTGGAGCTGCTATCGGGGATGGGGCGAATTGGAGGAGGTGGAGGTGGTCTTCAGACTGTGAGAGCTGGTCCACCTCAGAGCTTCTCTTCTTCAGCTCAGAGATTTCCTGTTCCAGCTCTTTGACGAGATCTTCGGTCTGTTTCTGTGTCGTTCTCTGCTTCTCTTCAATTGTGTCAATGAGCTCATTCAGGCCTCTCTCAACAGACTCCATCAGAGAAGTGAAGACCTGAACACCTTCTGCTATCTCTCTGTCTGCATTTTCCTTACTGAAGCTCAATGAGCGTTTGATCTCCTGAATCTTCAGTTGTCTCTTCTGGATCATCTGCTGAATTTCAGCCTCTGCCTTTTTGACTTCATATTCTTTTCTCAGAGGAACAAACTCATGTGTCTTGTGGTCTAAAACA